TCCACAATTGAGGTCACTTAGAACATATGTTGTTTCTGAGATTGACTTAAGGGTACTAGCTGAAAATTTGTTAACATATTTTAAATATATTAAGTATAGTCATATATTTTTGATAAATGTTTGCAATATGCTTATATAAAGGAAATAAAATATATTTCTGGTTTGATTGTATTGTAAAAACTAAATATTGTATTTACTTTCAAAAGGAAACTACAGAGTCATTCAACTAAATATCTAGATAAACAGATATAAATAATATAACTAGGAAGAAGTATTAAAAATGTTAAGTTATTCCTATGTGGTAGAATTATATGTCATTAAATTTTTTAAAAAATTGTCTAAGCTTTCTAAAAATTGGCATGTACTAGGATCAAACCCTCCCTTGGTGTTATCAACATCACGCTCTAACCAACTGAGCTAACCAGCTAGCCCAGCATGTACCATATATCACTTTTTCTCTTAATATAAAACAGTAAAAATTTTATTTAAAAGAAAAATGGATAGGGAGTTGGGGGAGCCACCTTAAAAGAAACAGAAAATGTGTAGGAGATTGTTAGGGGTGGAAAGTAAAATCCATGTACATACATTTTTATAGCTTTTTCCTTTGTCGAATATATGAATGATCAAAACTTGTCTAATCTGATGATTTCAGGGATGCCAGTAAAACTGTAAGCAGCCCACCCACCTCCCCAAGACCTGGCAGTGCAGCAACAGTATCTGCCTCTACAAGTAACATCATACCCCCAAGACACCAGAAGCCTGCAGGGGCTCCAGCAACAAAAAAGAAACAGCAACAGAAAAAGAAGAAAAGTGGAAAAGGTGGCTGGTGATTAGAAAATTCTTGTTGCAGGCTATTTTTAAACTAGTCTCAATGGCACTAGGAACATAATAAAGGTAACACAGCAAGAAGCACAGAACTGCTCCCTCTTCTGTCCCCATATTTTCAGAAAGTAATTTCTTGTGCATCAAATCGAAAAACATCTTTCTCAAACTCTGCCTAGTAGAGTTGGCCTGCTTGTACCACCTTGCTTTGCACAGATTATGAGGACTGAAAATAATTGGGCATTTACCCACCTTGATATCTGTTGCATACCTTATCTTTGTGTGCTGATTTGATCTTTTCTCAGTTTCACAAACAAGGCATGTTCCAGGAGGTTTTCCAGGATTTAAACAGAAACTATTTCAACTAGAGTCTGAAGATACTTGTTTCTATTTAAGTCTCACTTTAAATTATGTCTTAGGAGGCCTTAGGAGGCTGAAAGTGCAATCTTCTGAGCATTCCAAATATCTGCTTACAAATATCACGTGATAAAAAGGGACCTTATTAAAATATTGGTGTTCCTCACTTAATTAAATGAGTGCCCACAAGAAAACTAAAGTAACTATCTTAAATAATTTTAACCATAAATTCTCTGTCATGTGATACTGCAATATGGGATATTTTTCATATATGTATGGCTTCTTTGTGCCCCATATTGTTTTCAGATTATGGTAATATACTGATTAGTGCCATGAAAGAATTCAAGGAAAAAAAAATCAATGTTGCAAGAAGTTGACTCTAAGACACAGTGTTCTGGGGTCAGATTTGGGTTTGGACTGTCTCAATTGGAAAGATTAATGGCCTCTATCAAGTACATGAACGTTGCTTCCTACGTAGTGAGGGAATCAATACCTAAGTTCTGTACCAGGCAGTATAAAATCTAACAAGACTGTTAGGCTCAAGTAACAGTAGATACTCAAATGGCTCCTGTTGATAGTTAATGGTTATGGCCTTTCATTACCTTTCTCAAAGTAATGAAGTATTTTACAGTCAATTTGTGGTATGAATGTTGCTCTTGTCTTTTCTTGCTTACAAGCCACTTTCACATTGAAGAGCTGTGAGACAGACACATTGGGATGCCTACCCTGTTAATATTCATTTTATGTTGCCCAAGATATCATTTAATTTAGATTTAGGAGTATTTCCTTGTGATCATATTATTCTGTCCTTGTTAATAAAGTACTCCTGTGTTTGACTCTGAGTATATCTACTGAAACTTCTTCAAAGAGTTTTTTTTAAAGGCTTTTCTCCTTAACAAGATGAGAAATGGGGTAGCTGCCTTTCTGTTTAGCATAATCAGAATCTGCAGTGGCATCTAAACAAGAGATCTTCTTAAAATAAGAATGATTTATTATGGCATAATACTTTTTTGAGCTCTCAGAGAACAGTCTTTTGGTAAGAGTAACAGATATTTATTCCTTTTGAATATATACCCTATATTATAGGAATAATTGTTAGTAAGTTTATTTAGGATTCCATTAAATTTCTGTGGTGAAGGATAATCATTTTTTAGGTTAACTAAACAACAGAATTTTGGTGAAAATTATCCATCATGAGAAATTTGACCTAAGGTACAACAGTGAAATTTATAGTTTTCTATTTAGTCATTGTTATTGGCAGCCATTGCCATTGGTAGTCATTGCTAAACAACCAAAACCCAGTTCAAATAAATAAATTAATTGTCAAATGAAGTGTGAACATCTATATTAACTTTCTGGTAATTATTTCCTCTTTTGGACAGGTCTTTAACCAATAACATACATATACTTTGTATATGTATGTGTGTGTGTATGTGTACATTTATAAACTTCAGTATGGATACGTCCATTCACTGTGGCACATTTTAAAATAAAATATTCTAGCAGTGAATATGGAAGGTGTTGTGGGTGTTGGCATTTTATGGAGGACTTCCTGGTTAGTGTATCTAAGAATTTTCTTTTAAGCTGAGTATCTAAAATTGCTCCTGCCCCTCCCAGCAAAGCCACAAAACTAATCTGATGGGATTGAGAGAACCCAGTTTAAATGCCACTGAAAATTCATGTTGGTATGTGTGTAAACAGGAGTAAAACTTTAAAAGTTAACTACTCACAGCACTTTCGAGACTTACTGGAAACAGCTAACCTTAAAAACTTGCATCACTCAAGCCTTCTGGTACTTGCCATTCATTTACTGTTTCTTACAAGCCTATTTGAAACATATCTGATTAAGGAAAATCAGTTTATTCCATTAAAAAATAATTTTGTTAAATTGTGAGATATACTGAAGAGTCCAGTTTAACAAGATAATAAAAGGAACCATCTAAATATTTCTCAACTATTACACCATCTTTGAAAAGCCCGTTGAGTGCCTGATTTACTACATATTAGATCATTAGGGGCGACTAGACAATTTCGTTTTGGTTTAAAATAAAATAAAAGGGCATTTTAGAATTAATGTACTATGCTGGGGTAGCCTGAATGGTGCCCCTAGTGAAGGCTGTTGGGGGACTCAACCACACCCTGCAGCCATTCTTTGGTGCCACCATTGCTTTAAAGCGTGAAATTTTTTTTTTCCTTTTTGTCTTTTTTACTGACCGGTAACGGGATCGCAACCCTCGGTGTTGTGCCCACCAGTGAGTGGGAACCGCGCTCAGCCAGTGAGTGGGAACCGGTCTCCACATGGGATCCAAACCCTCGGCGGGAGTGCCGCCCTATCCAGTGCGCCACCGGGCCAGCCCTAAAGCGTGAAATTTTAAACCATCAATGAGGTCTCCTTTGTGCATCAAGTGCCTCTTTTTTACCATATAGTACACTCTCAGAATGGCTTTATAACATTTAGACACAGTGAGGGAGTGGGAAGGAAGCAGGGATGGAGGTAGGAAACACCTATGAAAATACCATTTGCTTTAAGAGCCATCAAGAATTCACTCCAAGAACAAATACATACATTTTTTTAAATTCTGTTATCTACTATAGTCCTTCATAAATCATGTTCTCTACACAAGTCTGTATTAGACCAGACCTTAAAATATCTTCCTTTCAAGAGATCTTTTTTTCTTTTTTACTTTTTTTTTTTTTCCAGTTAGTCAAATGTGGTTGTGGGGGTGGGGGAAACAATGTTACAAAGACCTTTTTAAAAAGAAGGTGGGATAGATATTCTAATGCTGTTTAGGGTCACTTTTTTCCAGAAATCCAGTCTAAGTCTAATGTCAACATTTAGTGTTCAAGCAGAACAAGCAGAATGTATAAGATTATTTTTATTTCTAAACCAGTGCTATTAAAGACAATTACTGGTGTTTTGGTACATGAGAAACTTCTTTAGTAGGCTTTTTAGGAAATAGAATTGAATTTTTGTGAGCAGTCTGACTGTACTGTTGCTCATTTATTACTGTTCACATTAAAGTTTGCACCCTAGAAACCATATTTCTGAACACTCTGAACCTTCTGTTTCTGTCTTCACACCATCCTGCCCTTCTTGTCCCTCAATCATTTGTCATAAAAAATTTTAAGGCTGGTACATTGGTAGAACGCTTCTTTCTAAGTATATTGGTAGAATACCTCTTTCTAAGCTTACTTCCAGTTCAGCCGGTTTTAACATAAGGTTCTAAGACAAATAAATACTCATTTGTGATTGGAAGTGGTTTAACAATTTCTATAATCTTAGCCTTTTCATTTAATCATGATACTTATATTAAAAAGTATAAGTGGAGAACCTTGCCCTGAGATGTTATAATCTAGTTATCCAGTTGTGGAGACAAGACAGATTAATAATAATATTAGATGCTTCATTAACTGTGCTGAGTGGCACAGTTAATATATGCACCATGGAGGTCCCAAGACCCCAAACAACAAACTGAACTCTGGTGCAGTCTCCAATGGACACCAATTCAAGAAGCAAATCTGAAAACTGGCCCTGTGATCTATGACACGTCCCATAAAGTATTTATTTGATAGACTGACCAAGAGTTGGGGGACAGAGAGAGGATATGAGATTAATATCACATAACTAATGGATAATTAGAAAATATTAACTGATTGGTACAGTTTGATCTAGACCTATAAAATTTCTGTGAAGTTTTGTTCTGATTTACAATTCCATGAATATTATTGCATCCTACCACAGGCAGGCACACTACCAGGAGCCAGGAAAACAAGGCCCTGATAACATGGGTTTATCAGTTTATCTTTTGTTTTGCAGGAGAAAAATAAGCAGATCCTAGTGCTGGGCCTGGATGGAGCAGGAAAAACCAGTGTCCTCCACTCTCTAGCCTCAAACAAAGTCCAGCACAGTAAGGCACCCACCCGCGGTTTCAATGCAGTATGCATCAACACTGAAGACAGCCAGATGGAGTTCCTGGAGAGTAAGATCTCTTCCTCATTAGCTATGGGATAGCCCCATATTGTTATATCTTAAACCAGACATGATATTATCAACTTTGGATCCTGGTGAAAAATAAAACTGGATCAGATTTTCCTAGACTTTTAGAATATGTGTGTAATTTAATACTAGGGTGCTCTGTGGGAGAAAATCACTTTCTGGTTTTTTTTTTTATTTTCTCCTTTTTGCAGTGGTGGTAATAAAGGGGAGTTTAAAGGAAAGCTTTAGTACCTTCTCCTATAATCTCCTATGATCAGCCTCCCTGGTACCATACTAATGCAAATAAACATGCAATCTAATTAAATACACTGGCTTCCTTCTGTGCAAATGAAGTTATAGACAAGCCACAACCTCTTCTAACTAGATGGCAGTTCAGAAGCCCCTACTGTATAGTAATTCTGGAGTCATCACCTCTTTAAATATTGCTGTTTCCAAAAGTTGGGTCCTCCCCCGCACTCCCCCCAACCTAGGAAACAAAATTAAAATAATACAACTCATGAGCTGAAACTGGAGTGGCAGCCATGATAAAGCAAACAGAAAAGTGATGTTATCCTGAGGCATGTACCAATATTTGACCTGCAGTGGGCCTAGGACAATATAGGAAAGCTTCAGCTGAGATTACAGCATGAAGCTAGGGCTTCTGGGAGGGGGCTAACATGCTCCCCGTCAGAGGCCAAGATATTCTTGAAGAAATTAATAAGAAGGGTGGACTTGTCCTGTCAAATATCAAATCTATTATAAGGCTATAAAATTGAGATTGTGTGGTACTGGCACAAAGATGAACAAAGTGACCAAATGAACAGACTAGAGAGTCTGCTGGACAAAGGAAAGACTGTTCAATAAGTGGTGCTGGAACAACATGGAATAAAAGGGAAATTGGTTCCCTACTTCTTACATATACAAATGTATACATGAATTTCAGATGAATAAAAACCAAATGTAAAAAGCTTTGTAAAGAAGATATAGAATATCTTTATGACTTTAGGATAGAGAAAAATTTTTAAAACAGGATACTAAAAGCAAGGTAAAGAAAAATGGCTAAATTCAACTACATTAAAATTGAGAACTTCCATTTATAAAAAGATGCCACAAAGTGGGAAAAGATACATGCAACACATACAACCAATAAATGCATAGTATCCAGAATATAGAAAAAACCCATACAAATAAAGATAACATCATTAAAAAATTGGGCAAAAGACATGAATAACATTTCACATAAAACGAAACAAATTAGAGGTAAACATGAAAAATGCTGAATTTGATCACTAAGTGGAAGGATTCAAATTAGGGAAAAACAAAGAAATCTGATAATACCAAATTTTGAAGAGGATGTAGATCCAAAGCAAATTTATTGGCTGTTGGTGGAGCGTAAATTGGTACCAACCATTCTGGAAAACAATTTGGCATATTTGGCATTAGTTCCACTCTTAGGAACTAAAGAAACTCTTTCATATATGTGCACCAGAGACAAACATAAAAATATTTAGAGCAGCATTGCTTATTGTATCAAGAAGTGGTGAACAACTCAAATGTCCATTGATGTTCAAACTAAGTGTGTTAAAACCATGAGTTACTTAGAAGATTACGCAACATTATTTTCACAAGTTAAAAAACAAAATACTTCAAAGAATGACTAGTCTAGCTCTTTACAAAGGAAAGGCAAAGACCCTTTCCTACTAGTACTTAAAATGGTTTTGTTAAGTTCTCAGAATAGAAGTCTGCAAACTTTTTCTGTCAAGGGCTATAATAATTTAGGCTTTGCGGGCCCCATGGTCTCTGTTGCAATGACTCATCTCCGCCATTGTGGTGTGAAAGCAACCATAGACAATATGTAAACAAAGAGGGGTGTCTGTATTCCCATAAGACTATTTGTGGACATTGAAATCTAAATTTGGTATAAAGCTTATGTGTCACAAAATGTTACTCTTCCTTTTTTCTCCCAAACATTTAAACATGTAAAAGCCATTCTTAGCTCATGGGCTGTACAAAAGTAGGCTGGCAGCCATATTTGGACCATGGGCCATAGTTTGCCTCTTTCTAGGAGAAAAATAAAAACTAAATCCCTTGTGTATATATTATTATCATTAGTCAAATGGTTTCTTCTGGGAAGAATCAGCAAAATGAAATAATCTAAAGTCAGTCTTTTTCCCTGAGGCAAATATTTCTGAATTTGCACAGAATCATATTAACTCAATGCAATATTAAGAGAAAAAATTAGTTCTGGGGTTTTGACAAAGAAAACAAATCGTGCAAATTAGTCTAGCCAATTAATTCAATGCATTAAAACATTAGAGTAACGTGTGTTTTAACCTACCATTCTTAATTATTTTAGTAACCCACTCCCATTTTCTGAGCTATCATTGATAAATATGCAGTGGCTACATGACTGCTGTGATAACAGGATCAGGAGACATCTGTGGTAGTATCTCTGTGCTGATACTTTATGATTCTAATATGAACCACTTGTAAAGGGTAATTATTCCCCTTGACCAACTCTTTTCCCAGTAACATCCCTTTGGCTGCTCTCAAGAATTGGGTACACTTTAACCCAGTGGCATTTTATCAGAACACCCATCTAGTGTTCAGAAATTATCTAGATGTGCCCTGCCTGGTGAATGCTTCTGTGACTTTTTTGTGTCTTCTTCCCCTACTGTTCTCTGTAGTTGGTGGCAGCGAACCTTTCCGTTCCTGCTGGGAAATGTACCTGTCCAAGGGATTGCTACTGATCTTTGTGGTGGATTCAGCAGATCATAACCGATTGCCTGAAGCGAAGAAATACCTACACCAACTGATTGGAGCAAACCCAATCCTTCCTCTGGTTGTGTTTGCAAACAAACAGGTAAAAACCTGTGCAAATATAAATAGTACTCAATAGTTGTATTATTAATACAAGAAATGTCTACTTTTAATAGTTTTTCAACAATAGGCTGTATATTAAATTCAATCTATATTTATTAGACCTCCTGGATTATACACTCCTGGAAGGTAAAAACTATTTTTTATCTTTGTGTCCCGTGTAATACCTAGTATACTGCTTTGTAAATAGTAGGAATTCAACAAATGTGTGTTGAACTTATTTCAATAATCATACTGATTGTTGAATTGAATTCAAGAAAATATTTGGGTGGCTACCATGCATAAAAAAGTTTTGGTTTAGATCAATTATACTGACCTGAATTTATTTCTCACATGCATTAAAAAAATTAATCATACTGATTGTTGAATTGAATTCAAGAAAATATTTGGGTGGCTACCATGCATAAAAAGTTTTGGTTTAGATCAATTATACTGACCTGAATTTATTTCTCACATGCATTAAAAAAAATTTTTTTTCTTTTTTTTTAAAAGATGACCAGTAAGGGGATCTTAACCCCTTGACTTGGTGTTGTCAGTACCACGCTCTCCCAACTGAGCTAACTGGCCATCCCTATATAGGGATCCAAACCTGTGGCCTTGGTGTTATCAGCACCACACTCTCCCAAGTGAGCCACGGGCCGGCACTTGCATTAAAAATATTAAACACCCATGGAGAAACTGGAACCCTTGTGCACTGTTTGTGGGAATGTAAGATGGTGCAGCTGCTATGGAAAATCATATTGTGATTCCTCAAAAAATCAAAAATAGAATTCCTATATGATCCAGCAATTTCACTTCTGGGTATATACCCAAAAGAATTGAAAGCAGGTGCTGGATGTGAAGACAGAAGAAAAAGAAAAAAAAAAAAAAAAGAAAGAAAGAAAACAGAGACGCAAACATATTTGTACATCCATGCTCATAGCAGCATTATTCACAATAGCCGGCAGGTAGAAGCAACCCAAGTGAATGGATAAACAAGATATGGTAAATATATGCAATGGAATATTATTCAACCTTAATAGGGAGGGAAATTCTGACACATGCTACAACACAGATGAACGTTGAGGACATTCTGCTCAGTGAAATAAGCCAGTCACAAACTGATAGTTACTGTAGATACCTCATGTAAGTGGATAATACATGAGGCATCCAAAGTTGTTAAATTTATAGAGATAGAAAGTAGAATGGTGGTTGCCAGCGGTTGGGAGAAAGGGGGATCAGAACTATCAGTTGATAGTACAAAGTTTCAGTTTTGCGAGAAGAAAAGCGTCTGGAAATGGATGGTGGTGATGGTCGCACAACAGTGTGAATGTACTGAATGCCACTGAACTGTACATTTAACAATTGTTAAGATGGTAAATTTTATGTATATTTTACACAGTTAAAAAAATGAAAAAAATAAACATCTGTAACTTTGGAATACTAAAGCCCCTTTCTCAACAGCTAGGTTTGCCAATCATAGATGAGTTGAATTCCTGCCTTTTCTCCCAGTGCTTTTATGGGTGAATGTTTATGGAAGTAAACAAAGCAATTACAAATGCTGACCTAAAGTAGGAGCCTGTGTTAAAGTTCAGTATGAAAGCTAGTCTAGCAGATTTCGACATTCTGCTGGCATTTTGAAAGAAAGGCTAGGGCTTTTTTGGTTTGTTTTTAAACCAAAAGATGCTCCACCATAAAGTGGAGCCATCTTAAGTACAATAAATTACAAAGATTTAGAAGAACATGATACATGTAAAGCAAGTGTTCCATTGTATGAAGACACCACAATTTTACCATTTTCTTGTTGTTGGACATTTGAATTAGTTCCATTTTTTTTTTTAAAGACGACCGGTAAGGGGATCTCAACCCTTGGCTTCGTGTTGTCAGCACCACGCTCACCCAGTGAGCAACCGGCCATCCCTATATGGGATCCGAACCCATAGCCTTGGCGTTATCAGCACCACACTCTCCCGAGTGAGCCACGGGCCAGCCCGAATTATTTCCAATTTTTTATTGTTATAAACAATGCTGCTGTGAGCCTTCATGTGGATGTGTGTAACATTTCTCAAGTGCATATATCTGAAAGAAGAATTGCTGGGTTTTGGGATTTGTACATTTTCTTTTTTTTTTTGTCTTTTTCCGTGTCCGGCAACGGATCGCAACCCTCAGTGTTGCCCCCGTACCGGACCGGGGACCGGCAACGGGACTGCAACCCTCGGTGCTGCCCCCGCGCCTCGCTCAGCCAGTGAGCGGGAACCGGTCCATATGTGGGATCCGAACCCTCGGGCGGGAGCGCCGCTGTGCTTCCCAAGCGGCGCACTATCCAGTGCGCCACGGGGCCGGCCCCGGGATTTGTACATTTTCAATGTTATTATATATTACCAAGTTGCTTTCCAAAGATGTTGCACCAATTTATTCTTCCACCAGCAGAATATGACAGTTGTTGAAGCTCCATTTTCTTGTCAATACGTGGCATTGTCAGACTTTTTCATGTTTGCCAATCTGGTGGGCACGAAGTTGTTTTTTTTATTATTCTAATTTGAATTTCCTCAATTACTAGTGAGTTTAAACATCTTTTCAGATGTTTATTGGTTATTGGTCTCCACATCTGTGAATTGCCTATCAATATCTTTCCCCAGTTTCTTTTTTTTTTTCTTTTAAAAGATGATTGGTAAGGGGATCTTAACCCTTGACTTGGTGGTGTCAGCACCACGCACAACCAGCAAGCCAATTGGCCATCCCTATATAGGATCCGAACCCGTGACCTTGGTGTTATCAGCACCACACTCTCCCAAGTGAGCCATGGGCTGGCCCTTTTCCCCAGTTTCTTACTCGGGTGTTTATCTTTTCTTATTTGAGTTGTAGGAGTCTTTCATATCTTTTGGAAAAATAGTCCTTTGTTAGTTATATGCATTACAGATATCTTCCCCAGCATCCCGGTGGCTTATCATTTTACTTTGCTATTTTACTATGGCTGTTTCTATTTTTATATAGAAGATTTCCATTTTTTAAGACTTTTTTAAAAAATTTAACATTTACTTGTACATATTTGGGGGGTACAGTGTGTTGTTTCAATACATGCATATACTGCACAATGATTCACAAGATTTCCATTTTTCATAGTCAAGTTCATGAATACTTTCCTCTTTTGTGGATTATATCTCTTATCTTTATCATAAACAGAGCCATTTGTTGTCAAATTTATAACTTTTACTGAGGCTAAAGGACAAAAGGTTTGGCTATTCTAGTTTAAGATTAATTCATTTTTGTTTAAATTCCTTAGCCAAAATGTTTACTCTATGCTTTCAGATGACTCCCATGTTCAACTTTTTATTACATAGTCTTCAAAAAGTCATTTATTATCTTTACTCTCTTGCGTTTTGACCTCTGTTAAGGCACAATTACGTTAAGTGTGGAATAAACACACACACCCGATGTGTGTTTTCATTGCAAGAAGTTCCTCCTCCCACCCAACACCCTCCATCTCCTATTTCTTCCTCTCCAGTTCCATCAGTGAATGTGTTAACCCAGGACATCATCCACATGTTACTGGATCCATTAACACTATTACAAAAGTTACTACAGGTTCCAAAACTAAACGAATTCAGGTTTCAAACAGGCAATATATTGCAACTACCAACATCTAGAGAGGTAATCAACTCCAGTCAGTTACCATATATAGCATGCCAGGAAGAGCCTCACAGGCTCCCAGTGATAGAATTTGATAGGTTCATATTGGGCAACAGAAAAAAATAATGACACAATATTGGATTATTTCCAGAGATTTAAAAAGAATCTCCTAAAAACTTAGGAGGGATACTGTGAAACACCAAAAGTCAATTACAAATGCAGTTTCAGAAATGAAAACACACAGGGCCTGTGGCTCACTTGGGAGAGTGTAGTGCTGATAACACCAAGGCCATGGGTTCGGATCCCTATATAGGGATGGCAGGTTAGCTCACTTGGGAGAGTGTGGTGCTGACAACACCAAGTCAAGGGTTAAGATCCCCTTACCGGTCATCTTTTATAAAGAAAAAAAAAAGAAATGAAAATACCAAAATTTTTACAAAGGACTAAAAAACTATAGCTGACTCTGTAGATTTATCAAAGGGACTACCAGAAGTCATTTGCAGAAATAATTCCTGATGTATGAGAGGTAAAGTCTGTTCCCGCCTTGCCATTTGGCCCTCGCATACAGCATAAGCACAGGCTTCCTGTCTTCCCATTCTAACCTCTCTCCTCTCTGCCTCTCAATCTTCCCGGTCTTTTTCTCTGTGCCCATCTCTCTTAGCCTCTCTCTCTCACCACCCCTTTTCTAAATCCACTTCCTTTCCACTTTCTTCTTGTCTTCCTCCAGCCCCCAAAATTGTATCCAAAAATTTTTGTTCAGGAGAAATAATGAACACAAAAAGAAAACTCACAATGGCAAGTGTTATAATTAGTAAAATATGATATGGACAAAAAACAACTAATGAATCAGATTTCTGTTGTTAAACACAAAATAAAAATAATTGATTCTATTGGAAATAATCTTGGAAAGTTAAAAGGAAAATGGAAAAACAAAATTAAAAACAGATTTACTGCACTTTTTTAGAAAATTAGGGTATTATATTGGCTTAGCTTCATTCCAGAAAATACTTTTTTGATAACTCATTAATGCTGGCATAATTGTTTTTTTTTAAAAATTATTTATTAATTATTATTATTATTATTATGTTTTGCATTCTAAGATGTTGCAGAACAGTGTGAGAGGGGGAGTGGGAGAGGGTTGGAGAATGCTGGCATAATTCTGATGAAAATATTTATATTCAGGCAACAACTGGGGTCATAATAATGGGGTCACAGTATCCTCTGTATTAAAATGGTGGATTCATTGAGAGCAATAAATAAGAGAATAAGTGTATCTATCTGAAAGGACTGCAAAATAACCAACTTTTTCCCATTCTTTTTTCAATACGGGTGAAGGATCTTGAAGCAGCCTATCACATTACAGATATCCATGACGCTTTGGCCTTATCTGAGGTGGGAAATGACAGGAAGATGTTCTTGTTTGGAACCCATCTGACTAAGAACGGCTCAGAGATACCCTCCACCATGCAAGATGCCAAAGACTTGATTGCACAGCTGGCTGCCGATGTGCAGTGACCAACACTAGGTCCACTGTGTGGCTCTCAATCTAAGTGTCATCAGAGAGTGTTGAATGGCAAGCTTGAAGCCAAAGTTTCCACTTTCAAATAAAAAATAAGCCACTTTTTATTTTCTCAATGCATGCCATATATACAGTTGGCCCTTTATATCCATGGGTTCCATGTCTGTGGATTCAAACAAACACCTAGAAAATATTCAGAAATATTCAGACACAATAAAAGAGAACAATACAACAATAAAAAATAATACAAATAAAAAATACAGTATAACAGCTATTTACATAACATTTACATTGTATTAGGTATTATAATCTAGAAATGATTTAAAGTGTATGGGAGGATGTGTGTAGGTTATGTGCAAATACCATGTCATTTTATATAAGGGACTTGAGCATCCACAGATTTTGATATCTGAAGTGGGTCCTGGAACCAATACCCCATGGATACCAAGGGATGACTACAAAGAAAATGCTAATTTAATAAGAACATCTCTTTAGTTACATTTGAACTTTTAAAATACTTGTAAAACTGTGTATTTGGGGGGGATTGGGATTTTTAATCAGCAAAAGTAAAATGAACATTACCAAGCCCTTATCTATTTGTGGTTTTTCAATGACATGAAATTTGTGTTAAAATATTTTAATAAGTTTTCTCTTTTCAAGTAAAAATCCAGGTGTTTTTCCTTTAACTGGATCCATTCAATCCTGCAGGAAAGAAATATCTGTATAAGACAATGAGGAAAGAGAGCACTATCAAACCCACAAAGAAATAGAAATTAACACCATTCAGAGAGAAATAGGAAAGGCTTCTTTTCTAGGAGTCTGTTATACTAGATGAGGAACATTTGGGGGTTTGTGGGTTTTTGGCTGCTGGACAGTCTGGGGAACTGAACCCTTGATCTTGGTGTTACAAGACCATGCTCTAACCATCTAAGCTTACCAGCCAGCCCTGTGGGGATTTGTTTTTAAAATATTTGATAATTTGCTTGTATATGTAGATAAGGTTTCTTCACTAGGAATATTTTGTAAGAATGATAACTATATTTTCCTACAGACATGATATAAATCCAACTTTTAACTGTAGTGCCTTGCCTTGATTAAAAAAAAATAAAGATTTGGAAAGAGGATTTGTTCTGTAAATCTCCTTTTAAAGTTGGAATCTATGGCAAAATAAAAAAACAAATATGGTGAAGACAGTTAACCCTTCTCAATGTTGATAGCTGTCTTTATCATGTTTCAGGTTAAGATGGAACATAATTGAACTTAGGCGTGCATGTGCAACATTATGACTGCCCTCTGAGAGATGAGATATCAGAGTGTGTGCCTTTAAGTTCTCTCACTACCTTTCGTACAGTGCTGCAGTATTGCGTTTTTTAAAAAAAGTATATTTATTTATTTATTTTTGGTGGCTGGCCAGTATGGAAAGTATAATGTTTAATTTAATGGTATCATATCACAACAGCCACTTAGGTGTCTCCAGGCAAAACTTCTTTTGTCTCGCCTATGGAGGTTGGATCACACAATGATTCAGCATTGTCAGAAATTCTGGATTTTAGCCTCTGCCACAAGGATTACCATGAATGGACACCTGGACAAATTCCTTAACCATATTGGTCTTCTCCCTGTAAAAGAATCAAATCAGATGCACACTACTTCCAGCTCTAAACTCTGATTCTATATGCTTCCCTATGTTTTCTTTCTTTCTCTCTTTTTTTCTTTCTTTTGCTGGTGGGAGAAGGGTCTGGAAGCCGAAATAGGAGCAAGTACACCTGCTCCCCATCCAGATTCTACAGGATGAGGCATATGGGAGAGAAAGGACAACTTCTGAGAAAGCAAGGGAAGCCCAGATTCTTGTGAGAGAGCCAGGTTTGAGAAAGAACATGAAGAGAGCATTTAGAGAGGAGGCAGAGAATAGAGGGAATGTGAGGAGGACAAGCAAGATTTTTGAAGTTGGGGAGAAGTGAAAGAAAAGATCAGAAAAGGGGAGGTGGAGACTGGGACTGGTGCAGGTGGGGTCTGCGGTAGGGGTGAACGTGCTTCCTGCGGCTTTTCCTGTTCCCTTCTCTGAGCGGCTGCAGATCGGGCCTTTGGCCTGACCCAGCCCAGCCATGGCTTCAGCTTTGGAAGAGTTACAGAAAGATCTGGAAGAGGTAAAGGGGTTGCTGGGAAAGGCCACTAGGAAAAGAGCACATGATGCCCTTACAGCTGAAAAATCCAAGATTGAGACAGAAATCAAGAACAAGACATGACAGGAATCTCAGAGGACAGCAGAACTTCTTGACAATAAAAAGCCAGCTGCTGTGGTTGCTCCGTTTACAACAGGACATACAGTGAAAATCAGTAATTATAGATGGGATCAGTTAGATAAGTTTGTGAAAATCTACATTACCTTAACTGGAGTTCATCAAGTTCCCACTGAGAATGTGCAGGTACATTTACAGAGAGGTCATTTGATCTTTTGCTTAAGAATCTAAATGGGAGGAGTTACTCTATGATTGTGAATAATCTTTTTGAAACCCATCTCTGTGGAAGGCAGTTCAAAAAAAGTCAAGACTGATACAGATATTATCTTATGTAGAAAGAAAGCAGAAAACATGCAGTGGGACTACCTGACTCAGGTTGAAAAAGAGTGCAAAGAGAAAGAAAAGCCCTCCTACAACAGTGAAACAGATCCTAGTGAGGGAATGATGAACGTTCTAAAGAAAATTTATGAAGATGGAGATGATGCTATGAAGCAAACCCCTAATAAAGTGTGGGTGGAACAAGAGAGAAACAAGCCAAAGAAGACACAGAATTTTGAGATTTTAAAGTCATTTTGGGAACTGTGATGTGGAAATACTGATGTTTCCAATAAGGGAATGTTGTACATATAAATTTGACAGATAACTACTTACATGCCTTCTTCTAAGTAAAGGCAATGAATTTTTCATTTCCTACTGGAGGATTTATTTAAATAAAATAGGCTTATTGAATACTTCCTCCAAAGATGGTTTCATTAGTACCCTGGTTATTTTGTTCAAGAAAGGGTTGTGTTGCATTCTGATGTGAAATGTAAAAAGCAAGTCTTACCTAATGAAACTGCTATGTTGTATTTTGTTCAGCTAAGAGAAAACAAAAGTATTTGCTTGCCTTTAAGTTACCGACCCCAGCTCCCACCAATGTAAGAATGAGTAAGAGTAAATCCTGAATTTTTGCATATAAAAAAAAATAGAAAAAGAATGGGAGTGGTAGAGAGCATTATGGGAGATAAGACACAAAGACATGACATCTTGGTCTTCCTGTGGTGACGATGAGATTGGTCCTGTTAGCTTGTAGCAACCGGTCCCTCAATAGATATAATGTGACAGCGGGTAGGATTTCACCAATGGGTGGAATTCCACCAGCTGCCTTCTCCTGGTTGGGAGAGAGTTTCAAGCTGAGGAGTGAAGAGGCGCGCCAGCAGGGCCGAGAGCAAGCCAGCGTGTTCAGTGAGCCCACTACCAAGGGCCACAGCGAGGCGACTACAACTGCTACTTCTGACCTTCCATGACCTCCACTTATGGCCGCCAGGGGGTGCACCGTTCCCAGAGGTACTGCAATACCAGGTCGATGCATGGAGTGGATGGAGCAAATTCCTATTCCACCCCCCTGCTCCAAAAATCTATTTAATCTATTGTCCTTGGATAGAGGATGTGTCACATATTAAATTGACAAGAACAGATACTACACTTGATCTTAGCCAAAAGGCTGAGAAGCGATCTTCCCTATGTTTTCTAAGGTGGTCAGGGGCATACGCAAGTTTCTGGAGGCTTATTTCAAAGGTGATAACAAGAGCTTTCAGGATGGGGAATGATCTCTCTGTTCTTTCTTGTTCGGTCTTGTTTTTTCTCACTCAGATTTTATAGTCTACATTTTGGCAACAAGTGTTGTGGCTGGAGTTTTTTCTTCAGTGAACAGTTATTGAGTGCCAACATGGTAGTCACTGCTTGATGCTGGGAATGACTAAAGCAGGGATTCTATAATTGAGATGATCTCAGGATAGCGATGGAGGTACATGTCACAGGGCTTACCAATGGAAATGGCGCTCAGCCAAGACAGGTTGGTGTGTTTGTCAAAGACGCTGCTTGGCTGGTAATCTTCCCAACAGGCCTTACAGGGTAGCATTCATTACCTCGGAGAACTTCCCACAATCTGGTGTCTGTTGCCAGCCTTCCAGGCTTAGAAACTATGGGTTTAGTTAGCATACTGAGAGGATCTGCCTTTTCATTTATTTATCCAGTGTTCTGTACCTGGTTGTACTACCCCATGGTCCCTCCAAAGTATTTTACATGCCAGTGAAGCTGGACTTCTGACTGGTCCTTGGAACCCTCTGGGCTTTCCTGTCACTTGGCCTTACTTGTGTCGTTTTCTTCCTCTGGAACAGTCCTGTTAATTCCTTTCTCTCATACCTCTAATCATTTTTTAAAGTGTGTCTCAGTACCTCCTCTGTGCAGTCTTTTTGCACCTCTTTTATGAGTTGTGGTATTCCGTTCACCTGACACTCTTTACCCCTCTAAGCCCCCCTGAGGACATTTAGCATACTCTTCCTTAAAGCTCCTGTGGGCCTCTCATTTATACCTGGCAGTCTGTGAGATCTGTGAGGGTGATAATGGTGTCTTCTTTTCTCTGAGAAACTCTCAGTAAAACACAGTAACATTGTTTATAAGTAAACATTTATTTACTTATGTGCCAGAAAGAGTGCCAGAACTCTTTCAGTTAAAAATGGTGAAAATTCAACTAAGTTTGTGTGTGCCAAAAAAGGGGATTCTTTTTTTTTTTTCATGGGGTTGGGGGGTGGGAGGGGTGAGTCTCATCATACTGGGAAATCTGGGCATGGGTGGATTCAGGGACTCAAAGATAACAAGACTGTTTCTCCTTCTGCTGGGTCTGCTAATCTCTGCTTGGCTTCATTCTCAGATTTCCCTCCTCAAGGTAGCAAAATGGATGTTGTCTTGCTGTCAACACCAAGCCTATAACATTCTTACAGCTCAAGATTCCAAAGTAACATGTATGCTCTCTCTTTGAGCAGCCATACAGCAAATCTCATGAAGAGGTACTGATTGGCTCTCTGGGGTAGTATATTCATCCCTGAACAAATCCCCGTGGCCGGATTGGCCAAATCTGGGTGAAGGGCAGAATTAGCCCCCTTAAACCACAGGGAATGAAGAGGTTCTGCCTTCAGCAGAGGAGGGAAGGGATTCTAGGCAAGAAACAGCAG